CACGCTCGCACTCGGGTGCGTGATTCGTCGCCTGTTGTCAATTTGCCGTTCGTCGCTCTCGTATATTCGTTCTTGCAATAACCAAAAATCCATTTTGCGGGGAGTATAGTTTCTTCTTTACGCGATAAGTCCACATGATATTCTTTATCGCAATATTCTTGTTGTTTACCGACTTTACATCTGATATCGATTGACGGAGATGAAGAATTATTAGCATTTCCTACAATTTGTAGCTTGTGCTACGTTTACAATAAATTTTTGTTCATTAGCCAACTGTTATATATATTAATAAATAATTTGCATCACCTCTAATGCTTATATTTTTGCTGTTTAGGCTTGTAATCTTCCATTTATACGCTTTCATAATTTTATCTTAAATGTCTCAGTTGTCAAGTTAATATTGCGTAAATTGTTTACTATGTAGATAGCTAATATCTCATTATTATTATTATAAAATATCAGTTACACATCTGTTCTATATGTGATTATAGAAATTGCAAATATTTAATATATATAATATAAATATACATTTCATACAAATTTTATTTTTATTCCAAGTTATAATTTCAAATTTGGATTTTATTTTATAAAATAATGTTCATATACAATTAATATTGTATCTTATATATATATATATATATATATAAATATATATATAGTGTATTATTACTATAATTGATGGATTTCAAAATGTTTATATATTTTTTTATTTTTATTGCAGATGGTTATCTAAATAGATAAGTCAGCTTTAATTTTAATCAATAATAATTGTTTCTCAAGTGAGAGACTCAAACACAATCTACAAAAAATGAGGGTTGTTGCGCTAATTAGTGGTGGCAAAGATTCTTGTTTTAATATGATGCAGTGTATAGCTGCTGGCCATGAAATTGTGGCTGTAGCCAATTTGTATCCTGTTGAAAAAGGTATTGAGATAGATCATGTTACATCGAATATTTGATAATGAATTAATAATGATTTAACTGAATGTAATTTTTAATAATGTTTAACTGGATATAATTAAGGATATATGAGTATCATTTTTTATGTCAATATAAATATTGTAATTTGTAATTTATATAGATGTAGCATAGGTGCAATATGCAATGTGCAATGCTTTCAGATGATTTGGATTCATTCATGTTTCAAACGGTAGGACATCAAGGTGTCAAGTACATTGCTCAAGCTATGGGTTTGCCTATATATCGTTATCCAACATTTGGTAAGGCCAATTTGCAAGAGAAACATTATTATCCCACAGAAAATGATGAAGTCGAAGATTTGTTTAAGCTTTTAAGTACAGTAAAGGTACATTATATACATATATGTATGCTTGATTTGATCTGATATTAAATAACTATATTTTATTCATACTTTACCAATTCATATATTTTCTTAGGAACGTGAAAATATAGAGGCTGTGTCAAGTGGTGCTATTCTTAGTGATTATCAACGAATTCGTGTGGAAAATGTGTAATTATCACCCCTTAAACATGCAATATTGTTAATTATTGCTATTAATATTTTCAAATATTTATTTCTTTAGGTGCAGTCGGTTAGGTCTTATTTCTTTATCATATTTGTGGAGACGAGACCAGGAGGAGCTGTTAAATGAAATGATACAGAGTTCTATTAACGCAGTATTGATCAAAGTTGCAGCTTTGGGTCTCGAAACTAAGCACTTGGGTAAATCTATATCCGAAATGCAACCTCATCTTGTTAAGATAGTAAGTTATCTTTTTTATTATAGTAATTTGTGCTTTTTCGAATTTGATTTTTATTCTGCTGTTCTTTTTTAACTTATTAGTTTTTTTATATTTTCAAGATATGTTTCAATTGACATAAAGTAGAAAAATGAATATTACATTATTCATTTTCTTGATAGTTTGTAATAAAAATGTTTATAGAAGAAATTTTATTCATAGAAAGAAAAATATGGAGTGAACATGTGTGGAGAAGGAGGGGAATATGAAACCTTTACTTTAGATTGCCCTTTGTTCGCCAAAAGTATTGTAATGTAAGTTGTACATTTGCATTGATTAACATTTTATTTTCAACCTGAGTAATACAACCATCTCTCGCTTTATCTTTGTTCATGATTTAGTGACGAGTATGAGAGTGTTGTAAATTCGAGGGACGATGTGGCGCCTGTAGGATATCTTAGATTTACAAAGATTCATTTGCAAAATAAAGACGTAAGTTTCTGAATATTATGCAAATAATTTCAAGATACCGGTAATCAAGGTAAAGATTTATTTTTCAGAATGGAGAGCTGGAGAAATTAAGCTTGGCTGAAAGATTGAAAACTGTTTCGATAAAATCACCACAGGATTACATTGCCGAAATCATCGGTCCGGAACTGCATGATGGCTGCAATTTATCAGAGGACGAAAATGACGAGCACGCGTGTGAAAGTAATAGTCTAAAAGCATCAAACTCAGGTACGTACAGAAAAGAGAGGATGTACAAAAAATATATACGTGTATTTATATAAATATATCTGAATTTGCAGGTCAATTTCATCCCCCAAGTCCAATGGAGATTCTGTACGAAGAGGAAGATTATCCGGACACGCCGACTGTTAATAGAAATCAACTGGGATGGTTCTGGTTTGGCGGTGTTGTAGGGAAACATCCGGATCTCATACCGGCGGTCGAAGAGGCACTGGAGAAATTAAGCAGTAAAATTCACATCTTAATCACATATCTTTGGGCTTAGTAATTATTATTCAACAATTAGCAATTATTTCACATTTCAAATTTACCTGTCTAACCGATAACGGAAGAAGGTTACATAGATTATTTTCGTTTATACTTGCCCAATTGCAGCTCTGGTTCAAAACGAAAACCTGTCCACGTCCGACATCGTCGCTGTAACATTGTACATAAAAGATATGTCGAATTACAAAACCATAAACGAAGCATATGTTTCCTGGTTGGGTAAAAAAAGTCCGCCTGTTCGCGTGTGCGTGGAATGTCCTCTGAATGTACACATCGCGCTTGACGCGACAGCGTATAAGGAGAGCCAAGAGTGCGGCGATAAGTGGACCTGTAAGCGACACACAATGCACGTCCAGAGCATAAGCCATTGGGCACCCGCCAACATCGGTCCTTATTCTCAGGCTGTTCGTGTAAGTGCAATTAATAAAGATGTTTTTATTTATAAAATGTTAATCGCTTTCCCGTTGCGTATTTTTGTAAAAAAATTGACTCGAATCTTTCTTTCTACAGGTAGGTGATGTTATCTTCGTCGCTGGGCAAATACCTTTGGTGCCTGGCAATATGAATCTTCTAGATATGAACATTAAACGACAGTGCCGTTTAACATTGAGGCATATTGATCGCATAGTTAAGGCTATGGATGCGAAACTTCGAGATATAGTACAAGGTATCTGTTTCCTGACTCATTCTAGTTACATAGCGGATGCGAGAAAAGAGTGGGAAAGGAGGACAAGAAATGCCATTGTAGATTACATCGTTGTACCAAATTTGCCACGTAGTGCGCAAGTCGAATGGTGTGTTTGGGCCCATAGGGATAATAACAGATTCGAATGTAAGAAAAGCATTTAAAAGCATATTTTTGGCGAAAAATGTATTTGCTGCAAGTAGAGAGAGATCTATCTTTTCTGAATATTTCACCTCTTTTAAGCTAGCAAGACCAAATCAGCAGAATCGATTGCGACTTAGCGCATTATTTAATACTCATTTTGTACTATTTCAATCTTGCAACTTGACTTGTAGCAACTACACTTTTTTACCCGTTTATCTTAACACAAAAGCGATTGTGTAATTGTTTTATATATATCTCGTTGCAGACGAAGAAACGGGAAAACGCGTGGCTAATTTTAGGATAGCCATCACGCGTAGGTGGAATTACGAAAATAATGTATCGGCGATTGTATGTTATATGTCCACCGGTAAGTCCTCTTCGCGAATCATTTATTCATTCAAATTTATTTTATTTTCCATTTTAAATATAAAACTGATGCTAAACAATTTTTTTAAAGTAGCAGAAATCTTAAATAAAAAATTAAACATAATACAATATGATGAGAATAATAATATATAATAAATCCGAATTGATTATTTTCATATTTACATTAAATCAGCCTAGAATTAAAAGAAAATTATTAATAAGCTATCATATTTTTCTAAGTGTATAAAACTTTTTTGTGGATAGGTTCGTCCAATTCGACAGGTAATTTGGCAACGGAAGCAAGCTCCACGGAAGTGAAATTCACGGAGCTGAATGCGAACGAACTGTCGGAGGCTTTCGAATATCTATTGTGTAAACTCAGGAAAGGTTCACAAAGCGCAAATCCGACATGTAATTTACGAATATTTTACAAAGTTGGCAGCTTTCCGGGTCCGAATTTTCTCCACAACGTCCTATCGAAGTTTTCTACGCAGAATTTAGTGATCACCATTATACCGGCTACTCACTTACATAACTTCAATACTTTGTTATCTATATATGGTATTAGGCACGAGTAAATAATCAAATTGATTTTTTACACTGTCAATTACTCGTCGGGATCGAAACGCGCGTTCGGAGGGGGAAAAAAATTGAAACCGTTGCTGGAAAAATGACATATTAGCAAAAAACTGTCTCGAAAGAAGAAAATACATTTGAAGTTTTTGCCTTATAGAAGATACACAGAGGCAACTATAATCCAATTGTCAGTGAATAATTAGGATTGAAACGATAAATGTATTTTTCTTTTAATTATATGTTTGCTTATACGTTCTACAGCCAGAGCTTCAATTTTTTTGACGATTACAAATTATACACGGCTCGAAGAAATAAAGTAAAAAAAAAGAGTTACAATGGCACCAAAGTATGCACCATTATGTTTTCTTACGTGCGCAAATAAAACGCTATTTTGCTTCATCGCGATGTACCGGTGGGTCTTACTCGGGTACTTCTCGCGTTTCGTATGCGAGAGACACGGCTGTTCGCTCGACATTTAAATGATGATGTAGTTGCGTCGTGCTGTTCCTTTTAGCTGCATTTTTGCGCATCTTGCGATTTATCTCTTCGAATTCTGAGAATACGCTCCTTTCTTAAAGAGCATAGAAACAGCAACAAAGTGCAGCTGAAAAGAACAGATTCTATACCTTGTATATCGAGTATTACTAGTCAATGACGGGTTAAGTGCAATTCTGAGCGGTGAGCCCGTCCCCACTTAGCGCGTAAGTGCTCTTTAACAACGCGATTGAATATTAGGTATAATAATACTCGTAATACGTACGACCTGTACTGTTGTTACGCTACGATGTTTCGTTTTCTTTCTTTTCTTTTTGCTCAAAGTATGCGTTACTTTACGATATTGCAATCATGTGCGGAATGTTAATTAACGTGTGTGACGTTTCTCTAGGCAAGTTAATTCGTGCACAGCCATTTTACAATAGCATTCGACGTTTATTCGAATTTTCAATAAGAAAAAGAAGAAAAGAGACGTATCGTGAGGAAGAAATTTGTAAAACATCATGTGCATGTGTTTTCGGTATGATTCGATACGATGATGTTTAATTGTGATACAATTGCAACGCTGAGCACACGTGGAGCGTACATGTTCTTCTTCATGATCATGGTCGTTGCTCTCAATAATGCTGCCTGTATCGCTATATATAATTGCGTTTATCGATCGTTGTTTCCTATCATTGGAAACGACATCTCTCTCTCTCGCAGTTCAGAGAGACCGAAAAAGAAACCCAAAATTTGTAAGAACTATACACTCACTTTTAAAAAGATGCGCGGCAATTTCGCATTTTCTGCGCATACGTCACTTGCTTTAGAAGTATCTTGTACAGATTGCATTATAATACGAATTATATATAATAAGACTACGCTAACGTAATATTATACAAGGTTGATGCAACGACATGCCAAAGTTTATATTTTGCAACTTGCTCATTTTTTAAACGGTCGCAATTACTATCGTTATTCTATATGTGTACATAAATGCAATGTAATCTAACACATGATCTTATATAAATTATACTGTAATTGATCCGACAGCGAAGAGAGAGAAAGAGCGCACTGTTCAAAATGTGGATAACTGCGTTATGGATAAGTATGTAAAAAGAAAACACACAAAAAAAAGAGATATTTATTCGCATCTAACTCTCACAACAAAACTAATCCGAGGATTGTCTCAAAAAGAAAAATAAAGAGAATGATATATATTTTTAAGAAATTGCCATTCCTTTCAGTTTCACTTTTTATTTTTTCCCTTCTATTTTACATATATATGGCAGTCGACGAAAAATAGTAATATTTTATAAAACCGTTGTTGGTTGAAAAGTACAACACTGCAACTGTCATGTGACAATACTTCGTTCATTTTTTCTTACTTTGCTTTATGTTAAATAAATATTCACTTAACAAAATGTTAATATTGTATAAATGCAAAAGTTATAAAAAACAGTGATATTTAACCAAGCTTGTGGACTTAAATCAATTTCGTATTCATAAAAGAATCTATGATCAAGACAAAGTGCGCAGCTTCTCGTACATTTTGTGCGTTATATTCTGTAATTCTGACGAGACAATCAGAATTGAGCATTTAATTTATTCCTTATCAGACAATTCACCGTTTCTTTTGCGGCAAACGTACACATAGTAAAAATTCAAAGTCACAAGTTAAATTACTTATCCCAAAACTATGTACAATGTGACTCATTCGTTACCAAGTATTCGAGAAGAAAATCTTGCGTATACTTGCTCAATAAAACAGAACACTCAATAAAAAAAATTAGCTATACTTTATAATATAATACAATACACTGCACTGGCATGTTTACTACACAGCTCGATATCTTTCTGTTCGTACAGCACTGCTCGATGCTATGATTACGTTCATGTTTTGAGCACTTTCGAAACTAACGGCTTTGTCATTTGGTGACGAGTCGACGGTGTACAAAAATCACACAGGTAATTTTTCTTGTCAACCGCTAGTCCCTTGGTCTCCACGCATTCTGAAAAAAATATAGAAACAATTAGATATTTATTTCACGAGGTTCAGTGTTCCGCAATAGGGATTGCACAAAGCTATTTTTGTATCGCGAGCAGAACTCCTTTTTCTTTTAAGATTTCTCATTTTCCAAATTAAAGTATTATCAACAGGCAGATAATGATACTAATTATTGCTTGAGAACCATGAATTCTAGAAAGATAAGTAGAAACAGACAGGAGCATATCAGACTTCGATTAATTCCATTTGACATCTCTGTACTATAGCATCCACTATAATTTATAGTTCTTATCTGGTAAAGAGGAGAAGTAAAAGGATAGAAATGTGTCCATGTACATACTAAATAGCAAATAATTAAAATGTAGCTTTCAAAATGGCGATGATAAACAAAATTCAATAGCGTGCAGATGCTAAAATGTATATTACAACATGCGATGGACTTAACACTTTGAACGTCAGCTGAAAGTTTAAATTAAACTCCGAAACGTACAAATATTTTTATCACACATTTAAAATTAAGATGAGATCTTTGATAGTTGTACAATCGAAAAGAAAAAATTATATGGATTAATGTGATAAAAATAAATTTTGCTTATCGAAGTTGACAGATCCATGTACTTAATGTTTAACGCGATTTTTAATGATAAAGCACGCTAATGCGTGAATCCGTAAATATATATATATTCAAAGTGTTAAACTAACACAATCATGAAATTTGGTGTCAATACCTAAGTGCAGATATTTGTCACATGCGCTGCAATGCACTAGATTCGCTTCCAGGTCGAGCCTTTGGGACGTATGACAGCGACTGCAGTGCGGGCAATAGCGACCCTTTCGCCAGAGCCTTGTTATCGCATAAAGATCATGTGGTTAGTGAATTCAGGTAAGGGTATATTATGTATTATAGCGGTGCTTGGTATACGGAATAGGGTTTAAAAATGTCACATGGTAACACACTACCTATCCTTTAATTTAGTCGTAAAGATTTTTTTAACAAAAAATTCGAGAAGTGAACAGTTGTGATTTTTAAATTGTAAGCCATAAAAGAAAAATTATTTTGACAAATTATTGTGTAAAAATACAAACATTTGGCGTCAAATTTTTATTTTTTTTAGCTAACTTAGTCAGTTTTTTAATTCTGTCTGCAAAACTAATATTTTAAGAAAATCTTGATTAAATAAAAATTTAAAACTGAAAGTGCCATAGTATTTTGTGAAATTAAAAAAGAACAAACAGGGAAAATTGGTTGCTGAATTCTGCATAAATTTGATGTAACCAAAAGAGAAGATGTTGAAAAAGTGTTATGGTGTGAGCCATGGAAATCGTCAAGCAACTGAAAGCCCAGCATAGTTTAAAAAAACTGATGCATCATAAATTTTACTCACTTCGAACATGGTACACAGAGTGTGGACACATAAACTCGAGTGTTTTTCTCGCCTTTTTTATATTCATGTTGCCATAGCGCCACACTGTTTCTGTCTGAATTAGCTCCTCCGGGTTCTCTAGAACCGCAATTTGCGCACACAGCGCATTCCTGACAATGCCATCTTCCTTGTGGTACTCGCCGCAAACCAACACAATAGATATGGTACCTAAACATGCAATATTGTGTTATATTAATTAGAAATCTTGCAGCAATAAATCTAAATTGCAGGTAACTGATTGAAAAAATTATAATACATAGAATTTTTTTTCTTAACAAAATTGAAATAAAAAAGTTAATATTTTTCAAATAAAATAGAAAATATAACACATAGCGATGCCGAGTATTCGTAAATGTAACTCACCCACGATCGCACATGTCACAAAAGAGCATTTTGTCTTCATCCGCCGGATCGTGACATTGCGCGCACGTTTTACAATCAGTACATTGCCATGCATATGACTGAATGTGCGGTACCATATCCAATGTTAAATCTATACAGGATGGATGAACTGAAAACAATAATTGCCTTAATTAGTTCTGTACAAAAACATGCGAGTAATTTAATTTGCAATGTAATTTTTACCATTTCCATTGCAAGTACCACATTGAATTAAAATTTCACTCTTGTTATGTTTATTTAAAATTTTCAGGCACATCTTGCACTTCAATTTTACATCATCTTTCGAGTTTGAGATATCCATGTCTACGTCGTCCATAGTTGACTGAGATCCTTCCGTATCTTGCGTGCCTTCGCTGGAAGATGAACTATTCAAACAAAATCATTATTATTTCCTAATTAATTATAATATTGATATATGTTTATCATGAACTCTAATTCTAAATTAATTAAAAAATATTATTTGGCATCTTATTTTGGAACCATTCTGCGTACACAGTAATCGCGGTCTTAAGAATTTAAAAAGTAAACTATATAAAATTTTATAATAGCTCATTACTTGCCTTGAGTCATCGGAAGAAGATTCGCTATCGCTATCGCTTTGAGAACCTTCCGATTGACTATCGAATTTACGCTCATTAGGCCGCGTGGGTCCGTACAAAACTGTATTTAAAGGATAATATCGTAATTCCGCTGGTGTATATTCCCTATAATAATCGGTATATTGCCCCGGTATCAATGCAACCGGATAATGTCCCACTTTGTGCTCCGGATCGACCTTCTGTTGCTTTTTTGGCACGTGAATCGTGAAAGTCTGCAAATCTAAGCAGCACTTGCGGTTCTCCTTGCGAGCTTTATTTAGACTAATATTCCACGACATTGCCGACTGCACCGCCATTTCCGCAAGATCTATTCTATTCCTCTCCGCGTTCGCCGCGGCCGATAATTCCTTCTGCTTTTTGGAATGTTCCTTGACTTGCTTCTCGCGCATGTGCTTGCGATACTCTTCGTACTGATCGGGGAAGTCACTGCACATTACATCCAGTACTTCTGAACTGCACACCGCTGTTAAACCTGAATGGTGATATAAGAACATCAGTATATTTATTTACTATTTTTGATCTTAAATTTATTTTTTATTGGAAAGAGAGAGAGAGAGAGACAAGTTTTGTTATCGTTTACGAGAAATCAATAAAAAGAAATTCTTTGTCAATTTATTCAAATTTACGTGTGTAAATGACTTCCACCTTTATATAAATTCATATAATAACATAATTAATTTAAAATTATATACAATTAAATGTATATATATAAATTTTTCATACAAGAAAATTCATAAAAAATGACCTTACCCATATCACACATTGCTTCGCTAACCAATCCATTTTCCCTTAAATAATTTCTCTCTTCCATATCAACAACCCTACGTTTGAGATCTGGATATTTACGCTTGAAAGACTTTACGCCAAGATACTGCGATATCTGTTCCTGTATCATGAAAGTTTCGCCCTTTCGGTCAAGTGGCCACTCGTATTCTGCTATTTTATCAACAGTGAACGTCCTTCATCGGGATCAAAATTAATCTCCATCCTCCGGTTTTTTACTTTGACTTTTTCTGATTCGGTCGTAGCAGTACTCAGGACACTACCTTGCGATTCTTCATTTATTATTGTCTCCGAAGCTGTAATGTCAATTACAGTAAAAATTAATCTTTATAGGAAATATTATTTTCACTCTATTATTTTCACAAAAATATACACAAATAGTATATACTTATATAGACGATATGCGAATTATTATAAGCGTTTTTAATGCTGCTAAGCACAGCATAATTGCAACACATATTGCAAATAAGAGAAATGATGTACACTGCCTCGCATTTAAGCACATCATTGCAATTTCGTATTTAGTTACTTGAGAAACGTCTTATGCCACAAGAAAAGATCTATTTTTAGTCAGCTTGGAGTTGGATGTGTACCAATATATTCAATTCAACCCAGCTGTTCAATGATCAAACTAAAAATAATTTTTTTTTCTAGACTTATGCAATAAAAAAATTATATCTTTATCGATATGATTCCGTTTTGTATTAATAAATAATAAAAATAGAATTGTAACAATATGCACAATATTATTGTCAAATCAAATATAATTTAAAATAGAAAACTCAATAGAAAATTAAAAAAAATATATTTCTAAACTATTTAAAGATAAAAGTCTAAAACAATGTAATAATAAAAAACAAATATATTAATATAGAAATTAATATAGAAAAATCTTAAAACATATTATTAAAATCTTTGCTATGTAATATTTAAAATAGTGTGTGTATGTGTGTGTAGGTGTGTATATGTCAAACGATATTCGTGCTATTGTTAAATTACGACGTTAACGGTAGCATTATAATAGGAATATTACTGTCTCTTGATTTTTAAGTAGTCGCATAGTTCTTTTTTAAAATTATAAAAATTTTGCTCTAGGAATCAATAAATAAAACATGTTACCGATTCCGAGATGTAATATCTCATAATTCTTTAAAGATAATAAATTAATAAAAGTTATATAATATTTAGTTCAATTATAATATTTCATATTATCATTCTAATGTTAATGTAAATACAAACCCGGTGCTGATATATTTCTAGCCGGTGTCTGAGATCTCGAGCCGGACTCGGCGCTCATTCTCGTCTCCTCATCGATTACTTGCACCGTCGACACCGTTTCGCCTCTGATAGCCGTGGTGTCCGCTTGCTTCTTAGATGTCGGCGTTAACCAATTCGAATGTCCGGGCGGTACAGGTATCTCTTTAATTTCGGATATTCTCGACCCATCCGACACTTTATTCATGCCTTTATTCTCCGCGTGTTGCTTTCCCGCCGCTTTCTGCATCTTTTCAGAGACAATTTCTATGGCCGGCTTTTTATGCTGGTCAGCTTTTGAATCTGCGGATATTTGACTCGTGGACGCTTTCGATAGGTCTTCTTGGACGCACGACGATCTGGCAGATTCCAGTTGCATCATTATCTCGGACTTAGAGACTTTCAAGTCTTTCTTCCCTGCTTCTTTGCGACTCAATATGTGTTTCTCTATTTTACAATCCATGGGCGGCTGTTTAAGCGCCTTGTACAATTCCGATGATTTCCGCAGCGAATCTTGCTGTATCGGTGTCGTTTCGTCGATGGTAATGACAGCCATCGTCGATGCTTCTATAGCAGACAAGTCTTGATCTATACGAGGCTTTTTCGCAACCAAAGGTTCCACGTTATCCATTTTCCGTTTACCACGACCTATAACAAAGCGAAAATTAGTATTCTTCTGTTAATATTATATTTAATATTATATTTAATATTATATTTAATATTATATTTAATATTATATTTTAATAGCGTACAAAATTATTTTAATAGCGTACAAAATTAAAAAATATCAAAAATCGATAACGATATTTGTTATTTCGTAATACTATATAAAATTATTATTAATAAAAGAAATGTCTAATTGGGCTTTCTAATGATAAAATTATAACAATAAAATTTAATAGCTATATAAGCCCAGAGTTAGGTATTACACTCAAGTAAGAGGATGTACAATTTTTTGAAACTGATTGATTTTTATAACCGACCTTCGACAATGTTGCGTCTTATACGTACACTTATGTTTTACTAACGTTTCGTTTACTTTGTATCTCTCACTGAGGATGGTCAAAACAAATGGACCGAAACGTATGTAACTATTTTATTTAAATACACTTTACTGAGCAACTAATACCTGGCTCTGAGTTTATATAGCTATTAAATTTTATTACTATATAAAATATATCGATATATATTTTACTTATTAAAAATTTTAAACGTAAATGTGTTTAAAAACTTTTGTGGCTTATTGTATATGTTTATCACAACCTTTCTGTTGAGTTAAATCTATATGTTTTTATAAAACACAATAGAGTAAGCAGAAAGGAACGCTAGATGTTTGTGCAAAATAATTATTATTTTTCAATCCAGGCGATCCAGGCGATCCAGGCGATCCAGGCGTAATGCCCGACCATCTTCAGTATTATTGATATTGTTTGACATTAATCACGTTTATAATATTTTAACCAACTTTACACAATCCTACTTTATTTGAACACATAAAAATATATTTTATTATATTTTAATAAATTTTTTTTCGAAAGAAACAAACCTCGTCCTCTGCCTCTTTTGGGTGGGGCGTAACTCTTCTGGCTTCTGCAGGTTCTTTTAGGCCTCTCGTTCTCTCTGTGTTCGAGTTGTTGCGGAGGAACTTGCTGCACCTCATCCAAGGCTAAAGGATCTCTGGGTATCAACATTTGCGCGGTTGATTGTTGAACGAGCTGCTGTTGCACCACCATTGGATTTCTTCGCGGTCTGCCTCTCTTCTTCGGCACTTTAATATCAGCAATACTTCTCTTAGGCGTCACTTCCTCTATGATGACAACGTCCTGGCTAGAATTCGAGTTTTCATTGACGATTATCAGCTCCGGGCGATGCTCGATAATCTCGCAATCCGACGATCCACCCGGCGAATTGATAGTGTTCTTGCTCAAAAGATCCTTCAGCTTCTCGCCCACGTCTGACGGTCGCACCTGCGTGATACTGATCTCCTGGTTGATCACATTCATCTGCTGTCGACTGATCAGATTCGTGTTCGGGTCGAACAACAATTGCTGTTGTTGTTGCTGCTTCTGATCCCGACACACCACCGGTTGGATAGTAACCTCTGGTAAAATCTGCGAAAGCTGCGCTTCCAGCTTGGATTTCTTGCTCTCAATCGGCGAGATCGTTACGTCCTTGCGCTTTGGCGATATATCGATTTGCTGCTGGGTGTTCTCCGCTGATTGTTTCCTGCTCTGCACCGGTTCAATCGTCAGCTCGGCCCGATTGCTCTGCAAAATGGATGAATGATGCCCGGATTTCAGCATCTTCAATCCAGGCTCTTTGGGCACTGTTGTCTGCTCCATGTATCTGTGAGGGAAGCTCAATATGGAATCCAGAACCGCTACATCTTTGCCTTTGTGCGCGGAGGATTCGCCGTGAGTATCGCAGGTTACGATGGTGGGATGACCGGTCTTGGATAGTTTGATCTTCATCTCCAGCGGCGAATCTGTGGCCTCCCTACGCCTCTGCTGCTTGTCCTTCTTCTCGGAAGAACTGGAAGGTGTGTCCATCACCGAAGCATCGCCCGTTTTGAACAGTTTAATCTTCATTCCGATGGACGAGTCGCCGCCTTTGGAGTGTTCCGCATCGGACATACGCGTAGCTTTGCTTTGATGGTCTTCCGCGGTGGCTTCGCTCTGCACGATAGAAGCATCACCGCTTTTAGACAACTTGATCTTCATGCCGAGCGGAGATTCCGTTCTCTTCGCTTCCGCCTGACCCTCCCGTGGCTTCGAATCTTCCGCTGACTCCGTTTTATCGGACGCATCTCCAGATTTCGATACTTTGATCTTCGGAATGGCGGCTGTAGATTCTGAGGCTTGAAGCGTGTCTTGTTCCTCAATCATGTCCATCAATGTCGACGACGTCGTCTCACCCGTCTTTATCATCTTAATCTTGATGCCGGAAGACTCCGATGTTTTCATCGTATCTTGCGTCATCTCGGATTTTTCTTTGCATCTCGTATCCTTCACGTCGTCCGTCACTTCGGAGTGTATAATAGACGCGTCACCCGATTTAGACAACTTGAACTTCATACCGAGCGGCGATTCGGTGCGCTTAGGCGGCTCAGGTACTTCCAGTTTGTCTCTTGTATCCTCCGTGTTATCCACCGGAACAATAGATGCGCCACCTTTGCACTTGGACAGCTTTATTTTCATCCCGATCGGAGACTCGGTCCTCTTCGGCGGCTCCGGGTAATCCTGCTTCTCCTTTGCCTTCGACGACTCCTTCGTGTCCTCGGGAATATCCGGAGACACGATCGAAGCATCGCCGGTTTTCGACAGTTTAATTTTCATACCGATCGGAGAATCGGTTCGTTTCGGTGCCTCCTTGTGCTCCTCTGAAGATTCCGGCTTATCAGTTTGTATGATAGAGGCGTCACCAGTCTTGGAGAGCTTGAACTTCATTCCGATCGGCGATTCGGTTCTCTTAGGACTTCCTTGCGAAATCTCCAATTTCTCCTTGTGCTTCGTAAAAGCTTCCTTGCTGGAATCCTGCTGCTTGGAATCTGAGATGATCGAAGCGTCTCCAGACTTGGATAACTTAATCTTCATACCGATCGGCGAATCCGTTCTCTTCGGTTCTTCAATTTTGTACTTCGCCTCCTTTGAATCGTCTATGTTTTCGTGCTTTTCCGCACTCACGATAGAAGCGTCGCCAGACTTGGACAGCTTGATTTTCATGCCGATGGGAGACAATGACGGCGCGTTATCGGAGGTGTGCCACTGATTGATCTCCTCCGCATACTCGTTGGATATTATAGATGGATGACCGCCCTTTGACAGTTTTAGCTTAATCTTTCCCAATTTCTGACCCGGACTATCCTCGGGATTCGGCGAGTTCGTAGCCGATCGGATCTTCGGGCTCTTCGGCGAGCGCGGCTCGCTGCAATCTGCAATAGCGGACTTGGCGATCTTCAGGATTATTCTCGGCGAGCCGACGTTCTCAAAGTCCGAGTGCTTCTCGTCTCTGCGCGGCGTATCGGGGCCCTTCGATTCAGTCTTCTCGGCCGACTTTGGCGATTCCAACATCCTTGAGTACGCGACAGCTCTCGCGTCCTTCGGCATGAGAAGACTGTCATTCGGGCTGATGGAGGATTCTAACATTTTAGCTGAATCCGGAACGGGTATCTCAATCTTCGGTGGTTCCTTCAGTCGCTCCTCCAATATCGACGTTCTCGGGATTCGCTCGCACGCCTTCAAAATACCTTCGCTCGACAACGGTCTAATTTCGAACGCAGCTTCCTTTTCGACGTGCATCCGGTCCGTTACTTGCACATTCAGGGAACTACCCACGACAGTCGCGGTGTCAGACGAAGTCTTCGAAAACGTGCGATCTTCTATTTCTTCACTCGGTTTGATCTCTTTGCTTATTTCGACGTCTTTCACATCAGCACTAGATACGTTCTGCATCTGCACCGCTATTTCTCGTTCCTTCTCGAGCTTCGCAGCCTCTGATATGATCTCGGCTTCCGAAATGGAAATGGAATCCGCCGCTGCGGCGTCTCGCAGATTCGCCAACTCAGACTCAACTTCGTCGTCAACAGGCACGTAAAGCTCCTCGTTCGCCTGTTTGGTTATATCCTCGACGACGCTTTCCACCATTTTCGGCGAGAGTACCAGCGGCGAGTCTATCGTTTGTTCCTCGGATTCCTGCAGAAACTTCACCGCGGATTCCAACTCGGATATTTCCGAACTCGACTGCGAATTTTCGATAACGCTCGAGGTGCATCGGGACACGTTCTCTCTCGCCATCACACTCTCCAATAAAATGTCCTGCGGCAATTCTAACTTCGCCTCATTTTCCTCCAATTCTCCAATCGGTTCCAATCGATTATCCTCGAAATCCACATCCAAATCATTCTGTTGCAAATCACCGTCCGTCCCAAGAGCCTCTTCTATTCTTTCGTCGTCCACAGTCGTTTCATTCAACGGTTCCGCACTTATGTTTTTGTTCATTGTTAATGCCTCGCTATCTTCGGTAGTTTTATCGTCAGTTGGCGCGTTGATGTCAGTTTTGCTCGTTTCTTTATCTCTGTTTGTCAAACAACTGGTAATCACGCTTGTTATATAATCAGTGTTTTGCGCGATGGTTGCTTCGCCTTGATTCGCTTGATCCAACAAAAGATCCATATCGACATCTTTGCTCGCAGTTTCTTCCATCGGTGCCTTGTCTTCCACTTTCATGTCCTTTAACGAAGAATTTTCGCTATCTGGTATAAGAGTTAGCAGTCCCTCGAGCGCATCTATAGTTTGTTCAGCGGTGTCTATGCTTTCTGAATCATCCGACAGTTTCTTCGTCGACTGTTCAGTATCTGCTCTTTCGTTTGAATTTTCGTGCAATAAAGAGGTGTCAATTGTGCTAATGATACTCGATTGTACGTCTTTTAAATTGACGTCAGCGGATTCTTCTATAATGGTTTTTACATTTTTCTCCTCCACTATCGGCGTTACACTAACATCGATTGAATCTTCCGATTCCGTTTTAGTTCCTGCAGTCTCATCGCACGGTTTCACGTTTTCATCATGTTGTGTATCTTGTACATTAGTGGCTTGGATATCAGATTGTTGAACTTTCGGTTCTGGAACTATCTCTTGAGTTTTATCGTCTTCCGCAATATTTTTTTCAATTTCTGCGACTTCCTCTTCTTTTAAGCTTGATGCTTTCTCGATTTCTTTAATTTCTGTTTTGTTTGATGATATCTCAGCGATATTTTCCTCGACTTCTTCCTTCTCTGCTATATTGTGCAAGGAGCTTGCCGCATCATCGTCTGAAACAATTAAATTATCAGTTAACCGATTTATATTTTCCAATATTAGATTAAAAGGTGTAACATTTTCCAAAGCCAATTTACCTTTCATAGCACACAAATTAATTTCTTCATTTTGTACACATGATTCAGATCGATCAAGTTCTTGCTGTGGTTTATTTTGTATTAATAACGTTTTATTTTCATCTTCTTTAAGAGATGATGCTGCTTCTGATATCTTTAACTCTGCGTCTTCTGTTTTCTCAGTCTCAAGTAATGGTTCGTTTATATTTTCGATTGTCTTATTTGAATCCTCATTTGATATTAGAATAGAATCCTCAAGTTGACTAGGTGCAATATCATTAATCTCGTTTGCAGATTTTTCTGATACAGTTGGAAGCTGTTTGATGGATTCATCATGTTCGATTGGAATTAATGATTCAAGTGCTTCTGTAAAGATGTCTTCCGCGTGAATAGCTGTCTCCACCAAATTATTAACATCTATAGACGTTGAATTCGTATCAGTCTGTGTTATCAAATCTGTGGAGCATAAATCTGAACTTTCCTCACTTAATAAATGACTGCTTATAGACGTTATATCGTTCTTTATATTCCTCTCTTCATCTGTGTGTTCATGTACGGATGTATCTTTATCTAAACTAATTCCTCATTACTTGTGTCTGGTGTAGTCTGAACTATACTTACATTCTTTAAATCAGACGTCTCTTCTACACTCATGTCATCTTGATTATCAGAAGTTGTAACAGCTGTTTCTTGAGAATCATTAATTTTATCTACTATTGAAACAATCTCCTGCGTTGTTTGACAGCTTTCAATAGTCATATTTGCTTCCTGAGAATCATTATTTTTACTTGTCACTTCTGCCATATTTGATTTCTTATCAGATGTCTCAATTAACATAGAATCCTTAGTTTCATTTGCAGATTCTACAGAAGCATCCGTATCTTTGCTTTCGGGTACATTTTGTACAAGTTCCTTCTCATTATCAAGGGAACAATTATCTAGTAATTCATTAGAAGTTGCAGAACTACTTTCTTTCTCTGTTTCGGGAACATGTGTTGATAATACTCTCGAGTCTAATTCAATATTTTGAACTTCGTCTTTCCGACTTTCTTCTATATTTTCAATTGTATCCACTAATGTATCTGTAGTTTCTTTACAAGTCTCGATGGAAGATTGACACACTAATGACGTTTCTTCGGTTGTCTCCGCTTTATCTGTGTTATTTTCACTTTGTTCATATGTACTACTTGATATTTCATTATCAATGTTTTCTTTTAGCACGCAATCATCTATATTCTCTTGTTTTTCTAAAGTCTGTTGTAATGTTTTATGTTGACTAGAATCCTCTGACTCAACTTTTTTGTTCAAATCTAATTGGTTATCAATGACATTTTCCACTTTAACACTTGATTCCTCTGAAATAGTCTGCCCACTTGCAATATCATCTAACTGTAATAATATTTTTGCAGCTTGTTCCAATTCATCAGTTTCTTCAGAATTATCTTTCTCGTGATGTACTGCAGAAATAGGAGTTTCTTTCAAAGAATCGCCATCATTCATGTCAGTTTCTTCAGAATCTTCAGAGTTGTATGCTTCTCCTATTAATTGTAAACTCTTGCTGATACCACCAACTGTTACCATAGACTTTGCACTGTTTTTAGATTCTTTTTCACTCTCTACTGTTTCAGTGCTAGACTGAGCCTCTATTTTCTCAACAATATCTTTTTCAATCTCCATAGAAGAAACAGTATTTGTTTCTTGCTTATTTTGGACATTTTCCTGAGAAGTATCATCTAGAATAGTAGTCAACGAATTGATTTCAATTTGTGACTTGTCATTGGAAGACAATTTTGATGCACAAACTGTGGATGTGTCATCAACTATTTTATCAGTATTTACATCGCAAGTTTCATCATATTTAACTACAGGATCCATTTCTGTACTTGAAATATTTTCCCCTGAAACAATCAACGTTAGTTCTCTATGTATCACATTTTCATGAACACAATTAAATATTTCTTTCTGCATTAAATATTCTTACCTGTACATTTTTCAGACACAATACTGGATTCAGCACTGGAAACTTCAATATCATTAGTATTTGTAACACAAATGGTATCAGAAGTAGGATTTAATGCCTTGGATAAACTCTGTTCTGTTTCTGGTTTTGGATTTGACTGCGAGATTGATTCTATTTTTGAATCTGTAATGATCTGTGAAAGTGCGGCGATTTCACTTTCTAAAGTCGAATCGCCAACTTGTTCGCCGGACTGCACACCAATAATATCATTGATATCCATCATACTCAGAGCTTCAGTGTCATATGTTTCAGTATCGCTATCAACACCATATGGAGCATATTGAGCTGGAGAATTGTCCTTGGAAGATTTTTCTTTTTGTTCTTGATTCCTGTCTTTAGAGCCGAATAGGCCCATCTTAAAATCCTCCGACATTGTTTTGACGTTCCTTGCAGGGGACGTTGCTATACTTGCAGTCACACATTTATGCAAGTTTTTTCTACCAGTCGTGCGTGAATAAATTTATCCGCGCGTTCTAGCGTAAGCGTATCTCGCAACTGCAAGTATATTATTCATCAAATTTGCATAATATTGTCATATATAACCGATTTTGCTTTACTTACCGCTACATTACTCATTTATTTGTTTTCGGCCAACAACGAACATAACCAACATTTCTTTCCACTTGTGCGCAAACCGATCCCGATGAATTGTACGTATTACACAAATATGAGATAACGCGAGAGAAGATATCGTACCGTTTTCTCGCCTACCTGACTTTTAGACGGACGGGATCGATACACGAGTGCGTATGCTTCGCACTTTTGAAAATATATTTGGTCAAATCGTAAAACAGCGTTCACTAAATTCTGACGCCAACTGTAGCCAACAGATACTAAAATCCAGTACTAATAAAATACCCTAGCAATTAATGGCATATGCATACGGCACGTGGCAATCAAACAGAATAACCAACATTAAAGATTGAACGTGATTTGTCAACAAAAAAAAAAATAATCTTTAATATCTTAAAAATTATTCTTAATTACTAATATCTCTTAATGTAAAAATTATTTATAATTACTACAAAGATGTATATCAACACAAAGAAAAGGCAAAACGAGTAGAGTTGGTTGTTATCACACATATTTGACTTTTTTTTTATAGATGTATGTATGATAAAATTATCATTTTATTGATTGTTTAATATTTTGCGTTTTTTTCTTTACAGATTTAACTAATGCATGCAATTCCGTTGATAGTTTGTCACCTGTTCTCGATTTTTTAACCTGTTTATCCTAAAAATTTTTAAACATATATATAAACAAAGTACATTAGAAGTTAAGCGTAAATTGTCGCTAATGAATATTTTCTACTTACATCTTCTGCATGTGCTTCGTTGTCAATTCTTCTCTTTAGCTTTTCATTGACTAAAGCTTCCGTACCTTTTGTCTTTCTATAATGCGGATCTGCGGGATCGATATTGAAATGATGCGACGTAAACAAAGCGGCGAATCTCTGATCCTTAACGTCAACTTCGAAATTGTCTTCCTTTGTTTCCTCTTGCGCGTTCTTCTTTTTACTGAGACGTTTTCGTTTAGATTTTGACATAGTAGCATTTTCCTCAATCTGTTTCATGTTGAAATGCTTCTTGCTGTCCTCTTGATCCATCAGAAGTAACTCTAATTCGGCTTTACGTCGCTTTTCTTCTTCTCCAATCGACAATTCTATATCACTAGTTTCATTGTCTATCTTTTCTTTTTTATAGGATGATTTATCGTTTTTAAATTCTTCCGCGAAGTATTTATCATTCACATCTACATCAGATGGTAAAGAATCTTCTGAATCGCTCGAATTTTTTTCTTTAAGCTTCTTTCTTTCTTCTTTCTTAGCTTTTTTCTTCGCTTTGCGTTTTTCCAGATATTGCTCGAAAGGTGTGAGCTCTTCCTTATTTTTTATACTCTCTTTAACTAATTTCTCAGCCTTCTCTTTCGTGCCAATACCCCATGTAAATTCCAATTCGACATCCTTGTTTTGTTTTGCTTCTTCTTCCTCTTCAATGGTTTTCAATAGAGATTTGTACTTTCTAATTGGATCATTATCTGTCTCTGATTCGTGATCATCATTGGCTCCCTTAGTTGCTTCTTTCTCCCCCTCTGTATCTATAAAACATAAAAATTATACATTAGATATAGATTCAAGAATAAATAAAATAATAGCATAACATTATACCTGAATCATTTTCGCTACCGCTCGCTAGATATGTCTGCAAATCATTTTCATCGACATCTTGTAGTCTTCCTGAATTTAATTTCTGAGTAAACTCTTGCCTGTCTAAATTTGTTTCATCCCATGTTAACTCGACTTTAACTTGTTGCAAAGCTGTTGTTGTAAACTGTCGTGGTTGATATTTCACAGGTTCCGGTATCTCAGTACATATCTCTTTAGGTTCCTTCAATAAGTATTTCAAAATATTTCTTAATACTTCAATAGACTATCAATATATCCTATTGTGATTTAATAAATACCTGGTCAAACGTCATATCGTCTGGTATAAATCTTAAATCTAATTTAGTTGCAGTCGATTCGTACTCGATACCGTCGCATTCTGTATATACTTTATTTGCCGTTTTGGCAGAATCAAATTCAGCCACAGCATAATAATATTTCAATCGATTCAATTGATACTGCCTCAACTTTTCCATGTGATAACTTGAACCTTCCTCATTCTGAAAAAGAAAAATTAATATAAGTAATAAAAAATAAAATGTATTAATAAATTATAGAAAAATCGTTATTTCATACATCATCTTCAATGTCGTCTTCGATGTCATCTTCATTGTCGATATTTTCATTATTTTTTAATTCTGTCGGTCCATTGACCTCTTCCTCCTTCATTCGTTGCTGGCCAAACTCTGATGGATAAATCTGAAATTAATCAGATGTAAGAAATAGAAATATGTTACTATTTATATTATATGCTCCAATTAATTGTTATTAATATTTTATAAGTTTAATACAATTATATTTATGATTACCGTAACAGAATGGATGAGTCCACCACTGGGTAAAAATGAATTTAGTAAAATCATTAAATCTACAGCTCTTATCCTATCCCAGTCCATATTACAAATAGCTAATCTGTGTGTGATTTCATCTGTTGTTTCAGCTTCTTTGTCTAGCTCGCCCCATTTGTGTTCAATTTCTTCTTCAATATCTAAAAATAAAACAAAAATTTAGTATTACATCTTATAATATTTGAAAGTACTACAATATTATAAAATATAAGAAATAATATAAAAATATCATATAAAAAATATAAAATTATAAAAAATATAAAAAGTAATATTATACCACTGGCTTCAGATGATTCCTCTTCTGAAGAGCTATCAGTGAACAAGATGCCTTCACCCCTGGCATAATTTACAGTAAGATCTTTTAGTTTCTCTTTAACTTCATTTGTGAGTTTATTACTTTCATCTTTTCTTCTTTTATGCAGTTGTTTATCATTTTCATCCAAATTCAATTGAAAATTCTTTTCCTCGTGGGAAAGTTTATCCTCATCATATGAAGATTCATTATCGGATTCATTATCAGATTCAATATTAGATTCATTATTAGATTCATTGACAGAAATAGATTCCTTTTTCGATTTTGTTTGAAGCAAATCCTTGCTACTTGAAGCACAATCATCATCAACTTGATCATCTTTGCTTTCTTTATCTAAACAATCTTTCGCAGAGTCAGCTTGCTTCATTGCCTTCTTCTTGTCTTTCACTTTTTCCTTGATATCCTTTGCTTTATTCTTCTTTTCATCTTTCCTACTTGTGGATGAGACAGATATATCTTCATCCTCTTCTTCACTGCTAGACAGATCATAGTATTTCCTAAGATCTTCAGTGGTAGTTTGATTAATTGGCCTACCGCGCTTATCGATAGTATATTTCACGGTGAACTTTTTGTCTTTAAACATATCTTTAAATCGATGGTCAATTTTTACTTTTTCTCTCAGCCTTAGGAATGCGTCGGAATTTCGGATCCTTTGCGATATGCGCAAAACGCGCGTCTTTCGACATTTCATCCATTGCTATTGAGATTGTTAATCAATATATTCACTAACAAACACGATAATTAATTTGATATACAGAACTTTATACACAGAATATACAATAACAGAGGCACGTATTCATCATACACGTGCTTCGACATTGGTTATGCAGGTTATGTCTATCGAGTTAGGGTAGGTCAGACTAGAATGTGTTTCCATCGAATTGCATTATATACTTGCTATTACTACAAATGAAATAGAATATTTTTAGACGGAGAGGAATTAAAAGACTATTCTTCAATCAATAATGCATAATAATTTCTTAAATACACAAAAAATATTAAATTTTATTAACATCTTAACGCTATTAAAAATAGTCCAAAAGCGAAAATAACATGTAAAAAAAAAGATTATCTATTGAAATGGCCCTATTCCGCCTTTAACAGAGTACCTATTGCTCGCAGACCACTGCGTGGCGCTAGCGACATTTGTTTACATTTGCTTCCGGTTTAGGTTGATTTAGATTAACGTTTAGTTCTTGTTTGGTCATCAGTTTGCATATTTATTTGTAAAAATACCAATCAGCGAAGTTAAAAATCTTACAACCAAGCAAAATATAACAAAAGTAAAGTTTATTAAACAAAATATTCATTGTCATTCTTCAATTTACTTATGCCGCGTTGTATAGTACCTGAATGTGCCTCTGGGTACGATTCAAACAAAGAAACAATTCATTACTTCTATGTACCGAAAAATGAAGCTGCAAAAAAATTATGGCAAGCAGCTTTGGAAAGAGAAAATTTTATCATTAAGCCAATGCAACCTGTATGTGAGAAGCATTTTTTACCTGGAGATATTTTATGGAGTCGCATTACCTATAGTGAAGAGGGAAATGTTCTTAGCGAGGTAAGTCACGTGGATTATAAGAAAATTATTTTTTCATGTATGAAAAAATAATTTTCTTACAAAAATATAATAAAAATATAATATCAAATATAATATCAATAATTATCAGTCAAAAAATTATATTTATAACTAATAATTAGTGATTATTATTGTGTAGTATTATTAATTGTATATTTATTAATAGTATACTACTTTTAATTATGATTTAATAGGTATCAAGGTATTACAAAATACACATAATAATATCATGAATTATTTCTAACTAGTGCACAAGTACTTTATTCAACAAAATAATAGGTACAAGATAATAGATGTAAATTGTACTTTTTCCAATGTTTATTTAATTTATGTTTGTATATCTTGTAGTTAAATACAATTCAATTGTTTATTATTTAACTCTTATAATTTACATTCTTTCAGTCTGTACCATATAAAACTCCACGTTTACGTAAAGGTGCTGTACCGAGACAACACTCCGGGATAAAAGAAACACAAATCAAGGATAAAGAAGAAGAAGTATCTAATACTCATAATATTGAGAATATTGAAACATATATTAGAGAAAGAAGCAATAATTTCATGCCGTTATCATTTAATGATATAATAAATATCTTAGATAATAAACAGTTGCATATTCCAAGTCACTGGACGTACATTCAATACTTGAATGATGGTATGAGGTTGCTGGCGTTCTTTTTACCAACATGCAGCACAATTGAAAATTATAAAGACAGGTACACTATTAATCCATTCAAAGAAGTAATACTGAAGGAAAATATGACACTGGAGATAAATATTTTAAAGAAGCCTGTTACGAATATGCCATTGGATATGCAAATACATGGCACTATTGAGAATGTAGAGCAATTAAGAGAATCGTTGTTTTCTGTGGACAGTCATAACATATGCTTAGGTGTAGTCAATATTGCTAACGAAATTGAAGATCATGTACAGGATCTGGCTTTTAAAGACATTTGTGGTAGATGGAGACACAAAGAGTGTTTATTATTGATACCACATTTATTAGAAGTATGCAATTTTTGCTCAGGTATTAAAGACACTTTTGCTCAAAAACCAAAAGTCGTTCAGCAAAGACGATCAAATCGATTAAAAGAATTAATTTAATTATGATTGTGTTCGCTGCAAAATGTCAAGATACTCTTTTTATTTTTACTAATTCCGTTAAATTTATAAGTAAATATATATATTTTTATGATAAATAATTTCATTTGTGTTCAGAGTTAAAAAAATATAAAAAAATAAATTTATTTTTCGGAATTGCATCTCCTATACATTGTCTCAATTTTCTGCTTTCCTTTTTCTTTCTTTATTATATATCTGTTTCATTTCGAGAACAAAGTGTGATGTAGGATATTTAAACTTTGATCAGTCAAATAATTTCAATCTCTTGTTAGCCTAATTTATGCGATAGCTCAATTTTTAATCTCCAATGTATAATTTGGTACGGGCTGAATGGATTAATGCAATTTTCCGCAAAAATTATATAAATAGCGCATTCTAACGACAATATAGTGCAACTACTAAGGAGCAAACATCGCCGTTAGTATAGTCAACATTTGTAATTACCGACGTGTTGACAAATTTGTATAAACCGGCGCATCTCGTGATCAAGGTTCTTTCGTATATTCGATGTAAATATGGATTCTTTCGTAACGGTTCGAAATATTTTACACGGTGCTTAGGAGGCCACATCAGCACATTCGAAAGTGATCAAAAGCGACGGGTTTCGGCTGCTGTTGGTTGATCTATCGTGACCTTCGCCACTGCATAAAGGACATCGCAGCACGAGTGTGACGAGTGCTCCAAATCGACAAATAATGTTACAAGTTGATGACAAAAAGGTAAACTTGAGCTTTCTATTTTTATTTTTATTATATTTAATATCCGCTGATTGATTTGCAGCTAGTTCATGTCATATATGTTTCATATATTTTTTGTTTTTTATTTTACATGATAAATACAGAGCTGATAGAAAATTTCAGAAATATAGAAAAGCAAAATTATTTGATCTTTCTCTGTGCTCTGGTCGTGTCGTTTTTTAATAGTAAAATGCGTCACGCACTTTTTGAGGTTATGTGTAGTGGCTAATATTAGCTAATTGTTTCTCTTAATCTCAGAACAGCTGATTGCGAAGATGTAAAAATATTTCTAGACAATTGTTGCATTTATTATTACACATCACACATATATAGGTTCATACAGTAGACATAATTAGTGCTTTACGCTTTTATTTGAGGATTTTGCTTTAGTTTTAGTTTAAAGTTTTTTATTAACTTTTTAAACAACTGATAAGCTATTTATATAATTCGGGATGTTTTAAACAGCAGCGATGCGCGAATATTTAGACATTAACGTTTGAAAGTACCTAACCAAAGGTGTAACTCATTAATATCACCTACTGTACTACTTTAATAAATTATGCGTATCCCAAAAATGCGAAATGCAATTTGTCCCAGAAATCGGATAAAAGAATACCATTTGTCGTCCATTTTATACAATAGAAATCGGGAAGGAAACTCCAAACATTTCGAAAAACGTAAATGTATTACGGAGTCAACGACTTGCACAATACTGAATGAATTTATAGTGTCGCGCGCGTGTGTGGATTTGTCAAGTATAATTGCAAAACTCAAAAAAATTCTCCACGAATGGCGAACGACGTTTGATAGAATATTGAAGAAATTATTCGAGAGAATGTAGTATGCGTAATTTTGTCATATGTCATATGTAATCGTATCATAAATTGGCCAACGAAATGTAAAGATATTTCTACATTGGCATAGCGTGTGATAAATAGACAGGTGTGACTTTAACACGTTCCGTGCCGCACTGATTTTATGTAACTTTCCATTTATATTGTAAAATTTATATATGTTTATAAGATACGTTAAGATTATAATTATAAAAAGCATGAAGATGTATAACGTATAAAGCACGTTATAAAATAGTGTAATATTTTATTTATAAACAGCTTAAATGAAGTGTTCAGGATTGCTGATCCACGCGGCACGGAACGTGTAAAAAAAATATGAGGAACGCGAGGGACCATCGTTGCCGATATAATCATGAAAACATTGCCGGTCTAAACGAGTAGAGAACGATCGCGTAAATGCTTCCCCGTATCTCCAGTAGAATCCACCTCATTTGTCTGTCACGTGTTAAGCACACGCGTTTGCGCCGTGCTTCGACGAAGAGTGCGTTCAAAGCGCGCGAGCTCACGATTGCTCGAAATCTCGCCTCCACGGCCGCGTATGCCGTCGCATTTCTCGGCTGCCAATCGTCTGGTACGCGTGTACAAGGTATCGCACATGGGGACTTATTTGTATCAAGTAAGTAATTGTGGGCGTGAGTGGAACGTCGCGTGCGTCTCGCTTATCGGAAGCAGCGTTGGAAATCCATATATATATGCCACTCCGTGTGTTGTTTCGTGGTTTTCGACGACAAGATCTATTAATTTACAAAACTTGAGTAAACAACTGTTCTTCCTGAAAAGCCAAACGGATATTTCATTCAATGCTCAATCGTCAATCGTAGTCGACAAAGTCGAAATAACATTTTTAATTAAGAAGACATCTCGATCTTTCGCAATAAGGAATATAGTATACATTATACATTGTGACTATATCGAGAGTCATTAGCGTCATTATCAATTTATAATATCTGTTTAAGAACGCACACAGGAAGAATTGTGTCATTGTCAGTTATCTTAATGATGTCGTTGCCCGAAAGAATTTTCTCTGTAGGATCAAAAATTAAAAACTAAGTTATAGCAAAATCAAGAATTGTATTTTTCGACTTTCATACTTTCTATCTCTATCAAATTTGTTTTTTGTGCATATAACAATTATTTTTATTATAAATGTGGCAAGTAAATTCTTATGTTTATTTACTTTTTCTTTGGTATATTAACTTTTAGAGAACTGCAGAGTTTATTTTAAAATCAGGATTTTTCTTAGGAAATAATATATTCTTTTAATATATAACTTGTCGCGATATATAATGTTAATTTCGAGACGTTATAAAGATTTCGTGGCTCTATCTGCTTCATTAAGTGAAGAAATCCTTTGAGAAAAATATTCTAAGTTTATTGTGTTGCTATCTATAATTTTATACTGTTAGAATTAAAAAGTTTAAGGAGATTATTTCACACTCAAGAATTTATATAATATTTTGCGACGATTTGCGTGTTAATTTGTCGTTATATAAGCTAATGATAGGCAAACGCGACTCAAGTACGCAGCGTCATGCAGCGATGTGATCGTTTGTGAGTACTGATCAGTTGGTCTTTTAACCCTCAACGATTCTATATCAAAATGAATCCGGTATCGAATGACTTCTGGCGCGCTTATCTACCACAATTTCACATATTCTCATAAGTTGCGACTGTTTCTTAATTTATAAATCATGTTTTTTTAGAATAAATGAAAAAGATATTTTGACGTATAAAACTGCAATAAGAAGCAAAAAATTGATTAGAATGCAGATGTAAGTTCGTAAAAACAAGTTTTATAGTATCGTAAAATAATAAATAATAAAATAATTAGCAAAGGGTAAAAGATGGTACAAGAAAGCAGACTCTCTTTTTTTGTTGTAATTTTCTACGTAAAATCTAATAATAATAAAGAGAAAATTTTTCTTTTTATTTTTTAAGGTTGAAATATTTCAATATTTGAAAGCCATTTTATGTTTTTTGAATGGAGCTGTATAATTTTCTTCTTTCTTATACATATTAGTCAAGTTTTCAAAATTCTGTTTATCATTTCTGTACAGAGCTATTACGATAATGACGAAAAAAATTAATGCAAGATATTTTGTGTTTTATGTTTTTTTATATAGAGACAAAATATTTTATTGAGTATTTTATTTTATAAAAATTTTATACGCAGAGTAACAAGAAAATTAGTTTATGCAAAAGTATACGCTATTTAAAAGAAAGTGTAATTACATGAAAGTATCCTGGTGTGTATCGTGAGATATCTATAACAGCCGGCGAGATAATAGGAATGTGCCAATTATTATCCCAAATTTAGTTAGCATATCGCTGAAGAGGATTGAAGTGTCTGACGTCATCATAATTATTATCTTACAAACACCTGCTATCATAAATATTTACGCATTTATATCTGTTTCTCTCATTGATCCTTTTTTATTGCGTTTTCTTAATTTTCGACTTTTTCTGATCTTAATACTACAAATGGTTGAATTGAAGTAGAATTGCGTAAAAAGATAAAATTTATGGTATCAATTCGTTCTTTAAATTTATCTTATCATAAGCCATAGGGTTCACGAAGACTAACATCATCCGAATGTCAGTTATCGTATCCTCTCGACGGGAATCCGTGTATAAAAGTACTACAGAAAACGATGTATCTAAACGGTTACGTTGATTTGCATTTGTTATTAATGTTAACGATTACTAAAAATATCCCATGATAATATTTCTAAGAATTTCCCGTGATAAATCTTACGTAAATTCTATTGCACAATTAGAGACGCAAAGCGGTTTCTTAATGATACTTGATCAGAATTTTTCCAGTACATATCGTAGTCATTGCGATAAGTAGATTTAAAAGTCAAATTTTTAAATAGACGATTGTATTATGCACTGTACATTTTTAGTTATCGGTCTCATCCATAAAAAGTAAAGAAATGAAAACTAATCCTATCTAAGCGCGTTATCTGAACTTTAAGTCAAGGTGACGCTTCAATAGACGCATTCCGTCGTATTTTTTACTGTGTTTTTTTAAGAATAGATAAAGAATTTATTTTCTGAAATAATGGAGTCAAATTATCGACTTGATGTTATTCATTTTACCATTATAATTATATAAAGCTTCTAGTTCTTGGCTGCACAATCATACTAAATATAACGTCGAAAGGGAAAAATTATGTCAATTTTTTTTTTTTACATTACTCAGTGTGTTTCATTTTAAGCACTTAAATATTTTAAAAAGAAGACACTTGTGGGAAAAGAATTTCAGATAAAAGTTTTGCGATTTCGAGGGAAACATGGGATGGTAACTTCAGTTTGACTTTGAGTTCTTCCGTCAAGACTCAACTTAAATAAGTCAAGGAATAAGTCTACTTAAATTTTTTTAAGTAAAACTTTTTTTGGAGGTATTTTTAGAGAATTTTGTTCTGAATTCAACGATATACTCACAGGGTTGCACAAGAAAAACTTGGAGCAAAATATAATATGATAAACTCTTTTCAAATTACACTTAACTCAAATTCTCTCGATAAGCGTAATCAACGCGACATTAGGTCACGGTTTACGCCAATTGTTTATCGTCATTTACGCAAAGATATCTGCTCAGTCGCATTCATATACAATAATTAAACAAAGGCAGATTAAAGAGTATCGTATAATATTGATACGATATTAAACGTTAATCATCGTCTCTATTAATCAAGAAAGATTGTGTATCAAGAATTTTTCTTTTCCTAGGATGATAACGTTAATTTATTGTAGAAATGTAACGTCATGGCAATTCTCTAAACTTACATTGTCATTGGACACAGTTATCACGCAATTCATTCCGACATTAATTTCTCATTAGAATCCATGTCTAAAGAATCACGGCAGATCTCTCGATCAGTTGACATCCTGAACGGTGCGATCGCTCTCGTGCTTTTCGAAAACAGAAGACGATTTGTTGCGCGTGAAACAAGTGAAAGAAAAAAAAGAAGAAAAAAACGGCCAATTTCTCCTTGCGCTTATTTGCAACTGCTTACGCACGCAGCCGATTTTGCGTAATACATTTGTACATTTGTACGGGAATTTTACTCCAACAATCTTTCGTAGAGATTTTAAGCGGATTTTTAGAAAAGGCGATTTTACAGTCGCCTGTAGACACGTAGATTATCCTATACACACGATTTATTTATTTTTCCTTTTTTTTTAAACTTTTTTTTCTACGGCTGCGGTTTTAAAGTCATTATGTGTGCGCTTTTGAGTTCGATTAGTGATCGATTTACCGAGGCGGAAGGAGCGGATTTTATACGGAGAATAGGTAAAAAGTTTTCATCTAGCTATCATAGAGGTAAACTTCACAGGCTCGCGGTCACCAACGCAGTTCTTCAGATACGCAGGCGTTTCGCGAGCGTACGAAGAGGGATGCCCGTGCCGAGTTGCAACGTGAGCTGGAGAACCTGCAGGCGACCGCCTGCGATGGCGACCAGAGGGAATTGGTCGAACGGCAATTCGTAGGATTTAAACATCTGTTCGACCGTTACCTGCAGGAAGAAGGTCCATCCTTGGAATGGGACCACATTCAAAAACTGCCCGAAGATGCGGTAAGGAAAAAAAAAAATTATAAAGAGATTAGAGAAGTTTCTTTTTTAAGAAAATATAGAATTTTTTCTAAGAAGTTTTAATAGCACCTGTTTTTATTAATTAAATTTAATAAGTGCACTCAATAAATTAATTAAGATAGATTATATCTATTTATTAAAGCAAATTAATAAATAAATTATTTCAATAAATGCGTAAATAAATTTGATTAATAATTGATTATAATTGTATCATATTAATAATTAAATTGATTTAAGATTATGTTCTCTTTACACAGGTCAAAAACTATAACTCGTTGCCATCACCGGAATCCAACGAGGTGAAGGCACTATTAGACAAATTGGTTGTAGTTAAATTGAATGGCGGTCTTGGAACGAGCATGGGATGTCATGGACCGAAATCCGTGATCGCCGTACGAAATGGGCTTACCTTCCTAGATCTCACCGTTCAACAAATCGAGGTATGGCAATAAATCAAAATTTTAACAGTTTACTCTTTCTTTCTCCTTTGAAATGTTTGCTTATAATCGTATTATCTCAATTAAAATTTTAATCATAGTTATAATATTATAATAATGACTTCTATTAATAGCATTTAAATAAAACGTACAACGCCAATGTGCCACTCATTCTGATGGATTCATTCAACACAGACGACGATACGCAACGTATAATTAGAAAATATAAGGGAATTGATATAGACATTTACACCTTCAATCAGAGCTGTTATCCGCGCATAAATAGGGATTCTCTGCTCCCGATTGCTAAGCACGCTCAAGTTGATGAGGATATAGAAGCGTAAGATGATATTCGTGAAATCTCTAATGATATTTTTTTAACAATTGTGTAAAATAATGTATAATCTGTTAATAGTTGGTATCCACCTGGCCACGGGGACTTCTACGAGAGTTTCCAGAATTCTGGCTTACTTAAAAAATTTATCCGAGAAGTATGTATATGAGATCTGAAATTTGATATTTGTTAAGCTCTTAAATGTTAATGCAAACGTGCGTCATTTCGAATGAAGTATTTTTGCAAAACACGATACCTATAGATTTACGTATTTGAATTTTTTATTTTTTGAGGTTTTTCATCTTTAAATTCTAATGTAATATCAAAATTGTTTAAATTCAAAAGAGTATTATTTTCGTAAAGTACAAGAAAAATTTATTATATTTTGAAATCTTAATTTGCACATATTACATTTAAATTACGTATTAATAGTTATGTTTTAAATTAATTGTATTATTTTATTTTTTAGTTTAGTGTCTCAAGAAATCTCGGCTATATAATTTTTACATAAATTTAATTGGTGTTTCGGAAAATTTTTGGAAACAAAACGTTTTTATTTGTTAATTAGTTAAGGAATTAACTAATAGTTAAGTTAATAATAATGAACAATTCGCGCTTATGAGATACTCGAATATGTTTCAGGGCCGTGAATATTGTTTTATCTCAAACATCGATAATCTCGGTGCTACGGTAGACATAAAAATCTTGAAATTATTGCTGAGCCAAGGACCGGAACCACCTCTCGAATTCGTGATGGAAGTGACCGATAAAACACGAGCAGATGTTAAGGTAAGTTTTATATTAAAATATATTTCTTCTATAATTCTTACGTAATTATACATTTTACTTTATTAGGGTGGTACACTTATAAAATACGAGGATAAACTCCGTCTCCTCGAGATAGCTCAAGTTCCCAAGGATCATATTGACGACTTTAAGTCCGTTAAGACATTTAAATACTTCAACACTAACAACCTCTGGATTAAACTAAGTGGTATGTATTTTTTAAGCACTTGACATTGTGCTGGATGTTAATGCATGTTAGAATTATTGTTTAACGCGTGCTACTTTTTTCGAATAGCCATCGAGAGAGTACTTGATCAAAAAGGTTTGAATTTGGAGATAATTGTGAACAATAAGACCTTCCCGAATGGCCTAAATATAATACAGCTTGAAACAGCTGTAGGAGCTGCTATGAAATCATTCGAAGGAAGTATAGGTAAGCTCAGAAAGTGGCACTTTCACAAAATTATGCTTTATTTAACAATTCGTGTTTATAATTAAAGATGTATGTTTAATTCCACAGGTATAAATGTGCCACGCAGTCGATTCCTGCCGGTGAAAAAGACCTCCGATCTGATGCTCGTAATGAGTAATCTGTATACGCTGCGTAACGGATCTCTTGTAATGAGTCCTCAAAGGATGTTCCCAACGACGCCACTGATCAAATTGGGAGACAATCACTTTTCGAAAGTCAGTAGGAGCTTAGCTTTTATTTTAATTTTTATTAATTTATTTTTCATTTCTATTCATCTCTAGTTTTATTTTAAAATCTTACATAATATAATCTGAGCTTATTGTATTAATTGTTATGTAATTAAATATTACGCAACGATTCTTAATTCTTTTTATATGCAAACGTTTTTAATTTTTTTATTTATAAATATTAAATAATTAGTTTATTAATATGTGATTAGAGATTGGGATCTGGACACTGGGATATTTAAATTATTCGTTTTTTTTCACAGGTGAAAGAGTTTCTGACTAGATTCCCAACAATACCGGATCTTCTTGAATTGGATCATTTGACAGTGTCGGGAGATGTTACTTTTGGAAAAGGAGTAACGTTGAAAGGTACAGTCATCATAATTGCCAATCACGGAGAACGTATAGACCTGCCATCCGGAACCGTCTTGGAAAATAAAATTGTGTCGGGCAATATGCGTATACTGGATCATTAAGTTGCGACAAGAAGCCTAGGAAATAGTGTCTTAATTTGTCTTGCAGAATTTGCGTGAATGTTTGAGAGAACAGCGTCTGAAACAAGCGTTTCTAGTGATCATGTCTAAGCATAAATTAACTAGTCAAGCAATTCAATTGTATATAATCATAATATATTTTAGAGGGAAAATCGGAGATATTTCTATAAAAATTATTTTACTGAGTATTGTACATAAGAATTCTTTTGAATGCATTCACAAAGAATCAAATACACAAAGAGAAATTTATTATGAATAAAGTATATTATTATATAAGCGACCGAAAAGAGCTTGTACGAAATACATATATATTGTATTATTATATCGTGAATAAATATTCTTTGCAATTATATTTGCTTATAAATGAAAACATTTGTTTGATACCTGAATAAATGGCAAAGCGTGTAAGTATGTTCACAAGCAACATTATTGATTAAACAAAATAACTAAAAATAATTAAAATTGCAAAATAAAAAAAAATAAAAAAACAGGGTTTAAATATTTCATAAATATTTAAACCCTTTTTCTGTAGTATTATATATTTTTTCAAAGTAATGATTGCTATCAAAATAAAATTATCGAGATTTTTTATATAATTTTAAAATAAAGAAAAAAACAATTTCTCAATTCGCAAATTTTACTTCTTTTTAATTTAATATGAAAATTGTTATAGAAAAGTATTGCAAAATGAGCGCGGCGCTAAACGTCATCTAGCGATGCGCGAAGAATTTAATCGAGTCGTAAACGTGACCGACGAGCTCTCGCAGAAACTCGCAATGCTTCGTGATCATTCGTGATATAGATAGCCTCTCAGTGAGCTAACAGAGGACAACGATGTTCCGATAGATTACAGATTATAGGGATACATTCGCCGCGAATGTGAAGTTAAGTGCATTCTTTCCCATCCTCATCGCTCCAATGGAACGTTAAATCTCGCAGGTAAACGAAAATCTCCCTACAAGAAAGGAGGAGAAGAGAGACTGAAAGAGGGAGAGGAGACGAAATGCGGAAACGTAGCTGTGAATGTGAATCTCCACTTCGTTCGTTGTTATTTCCCGAGCAGCATACGGCTTCTAACGATCAGTAATTAGCCTGGCGCAATGTAATCAACGTTATGGACTTGAAATAAGTCGCCTATATTCCCCGGATCGCAAGACACATATTATGTATTACAATTGTTAGCTTTCTCGTAATCGGACTGGCCCCTTCGTCGACGTTTTGTTGGGGTCAGTATGGGCGGTTTTGGGCCTAACCTACCTTAACAATTTTTATATATATATATACATATTATATATATATACATATATATATATATATATATATATATATATATATATATATATATATATTGCTTCAACTTGAAATACTTCAGCAAAACAGTAGTAAGGTTGTGCAGTTGAAATTAAAAATATTTTTGTCCATATTATTCCTTCAAAAATAAATCAGTGCTCTTGTGTTGTGAAGAGTTATAAATACAAAGTTATAGTGCTGCTATTCTGCAAATAAATACAATATATTTATTTCTTTATTTATTTTATGTATTAATTCTTTAATAATAAAAAAATTAAAAAAGTCATTGAATAATGCAAGTGTAACAAAGCAAAACAAAAGCAAACTATTGTAGTGAAAAATTATTTATCAGAATTATTTTTCCTTTATTGAATAGTATTGAATATGGTATTTTTATGTATGTATGTGTGTGTATGTATATATATCTGATGTACGCAGTACATAATATTTATATAACATTTTGTAATTTATTCAGGAGTTGAAAGAACAATCTTCTAAATGGGGAAGGTTAAGAAGAAATCGAAATTGCTGCACTGCAGCAAATCGAGCAATATATTACGCAACTTACTGTTCAGGGATTGTGGATTGCGCACAACGTATAAAACTAGCACGCGTGAATTAGAGCCGATAGCTGAAGCAAATCTTGTTTTACGCGATCACAAGGAATTAGTATGTTTTTACATATAATATAACTTACAATTTTAATGGTATTTACTTATATTTGGCATTTGTAAAAATATTTCTTTATTTGCAGAAATGTGATTTGCCTGGTATTCCTAGAGCCACTTTTTTGATGGTTTTCAGTCCTGATGGGTAAGATATCAGTGCAAATGAGTAATAAAATATGATAACATAAAGATAGAAAAAAATATGCTGTTAAGGTATTATCTGGAAAAACTTGATATTTTCATGACTTTTTTCTTGGAGAAATCCATGAGAAGAGAAATCTCCTTTCTTGAACAATCAAATAAAAAATTGTATTGTTTCTGAAAAAATTTATTTTTTGTTTTTTTTTCTTCAAGGTTTGTTTTTATTTTATAATCAGCTGATTTACTCTTTAATTCTTTTAAGTTTTTTTAATTATTGAAACTTGAGCAGTTCTTAAGTCTTTCTCTATAAATATATAGAGTAGAAAGCATTAAGAAGTTTTTACAATAACTAAATTTATATATAATAAATTGTTTGTTTTAAGTTTGCTGGAAATTGTGACAGAAAATGCATGAAAAATTTGTAGGAAATTTTGTATCAAAGTTTAAGTAATAATGGAATATGTATATGTTAGTTAGATTTGTATATATATATATATATTTATAAAAAAACGTAATACATTTTAGAGTTATAAAAATATCTCAAAATTGTAAAATAATAATTTTAGAACCATGGTAGCGTCTACACATGGGAACCACAATGTTTATATCACAGATATTACTACAGGAAAGAATATTAGAACTTTATCCGGACATCCACGTACTCCATGGTGCATAGCTTTTCACCCGTCCTTCAGTCAGATCTTAGCATCTGGCTGTTTAGGAGGTCAAGTTCGCGTTTGGGATTTAAGTGTGAGTTCTTAGAATTATATAATTTATTACAACTTATATTTAAAGGCTGCAAATTTCAATTTAATCTTGTTTTAAATTTGTGTTAATTTTGAATATAGGGTGGTAGTGAAATTTGGAACGCTGATAGCCATACAGTTATCGCTTCGCTCGCGTTCCATCCGTTCGAAAGATTATTAGTTATAGCGACATATAATGAAATTCATTTCTGGGACTGGAGTAAATCTCAGCCGTTTGCTGTAGCTGCTACAAAGACCGATAAGGAAAAAGTGCGGTACGTTTATTTCAAATAAAACTATGTACAAAAAAATATTGCGAGAAAGGTGTAAAAAGAGAAACTTATATTATTATGTCAATAATATAAATATGTACATATGTATGTATAATATAAGTATGTAGTAATATGTACAAGCTGTTCTATTTATCACGAGAATCTTTACTGCTATTAAAGATTTGAAAAACTGGCAAGTGCAAGTTGCATAGTTCAAAGAGGCAAATGTGATAATCGAGAAGTCTTCTTCGACTTTGCAACTTTCTTAATCAATTTTTATTCTTTAAATAGCAGTAAAGATATTTAATCTGAAAATGGACATCTTGTATGTTGAAATAATATACAAGGATAATCTAAGAAAAACATTAAAAAATTTAGGGGTGTATAATACACAAATAAATGGAAAGCATCTCTTTTATTTGCAGATCTACTATCTATTGACTAGACATTTTTTATCTATTTTTATAAGTACTTGGTTTGTGAATTTCTACTGTTTCTATTTTGTTTTGTAATTTAAAAAAATTTTAATTTGTATATAACATTTCACAACTTTATATACATTGTTTTATGAAAATTGCAGATATGTAGCTTTCGACAATTTAGGGCGAAAACTGATCACGGGAATTGCGAATACACCACAAGTTCAATCGCAATGGGATCGAGCTCCCGTAACACAATTACTTAGAACTAGTTTAATGTGAGTAAGAACTAGGTGTATCACATGTAAAAATGACTTTTATATCTATTTATATTATTAATATTTTCACAATTCTACATTTTAGGTATAAACTTTTTGCAGAATGACTTATAACATTTTTTTACAATATAATTTATAAAATTAAACATAAAAAATTGTTTCAGCATCTATTTAGAATGAAACACAGCACATAATATGACACAATTTCGACTTTTTTGTTTGAAATCTACATTGTTTTTGCAATACATACGTTACTTTAGGTAAGTTGGAACATTTGTATTGTAGCTAATCTGAAGAGAATTAGGAATTTCAGATACCAACCACGAGAAGGTCATCCAGTCTCGGATATCGAACTTTCTCCTTGGCATTTGTGGAATCATGGTTCGATTTATGGAAGAGGGCTGGCAGACAATCACGCTACGGATCGAACTTCCCGATATACTTCCCGGTAACTATCCAGTGCAGAAATCTTTAAGATTGAAATTGAAAAGTTTGTGAAATTGATATCACATCTTTTCAGTGCCTATCTATTCATGCGCAGAGGTCATGAAATGTCCAGCTTCTCGCGATTCACCAATCATCATCAACAGTTCAGGAACAGTGCTTCACGGCAGGAAGAAGCGCGGTTTCAGCGGCGCCGTAATCTATCCGAAGGTACAATGTCTATGCTACGATGGCCTTACAGACATCATGAGCTAGCACGACATCTTAGAACCGCTGTGTCGTTTCGTAACAATGCTCAATCTGCAAGTACACCATCTGGTACTGTAACAATCGAGATTCGTCGTAATAGTTTTATGCCTTACGATGTAGAACTGAATCAAACTAGAGAAGCTACATCTTATCCGAATATCACGAGAAATCCTCCTCACCCGCCCAGCAATCTGGCGAGCACGGACAATGTCGAAAACAGATTGGCGGACGACGGCAACGACGACGATGATTTGCCGAGCAACTCGACAAGGCTGCGCGACCGAGAGCCTAATGCGATCAGCGACAATAGGGACGAACTGTACGAGCGATTGAACAACGCTTGGGTAGGAGTGTACGAAAGATTGCGCCAAGGCAATTCTTCAGATCCCGAGAGGAGAATAAATTTATGCTACAGAAAACTCGTCGATCAATACGTGACGCTCGTAAGACGTTACTTTGAGGTTTCCAGAAACAGAGATACGGTGAGCTATTTAGGTTATTACTTTAGACGTATATTTTCATACAGTTAACAAATCGATTTAAATTTTTTTAAGTGAAATCTTATTTTATTTTTATTAAATATACTTCTTTCTCTCTCTCTCTCTCTCTCTCTCGCTCTCTCGCTCTTTATATTTTTTTCTATCATATATTTCAGTTACTATCTCCCGTAATAACTTCGTATAGCATACAT